ATTCAGCCTTAGAAAGGAGGGATGGGTTGATACATGCTACATGAATGTATCTTGCTAAGGGCAACCAGTCAGTCACAAAAGGACAAATGTTGTGTGCTGATACTTCCATGAGGGACCTGGAACAGTCAAGTTCATAGAGACAGAAAGGGGAATGGTGGTTGCGGGGGGCTGGGTAGAGAGAATGAGGAGTTAGTGTTTAAGGGTAGAAAGTTCCAGTTTGTGCAGATGAGAAAGGTCTGCAGATGGATGGTGGTGGTGGCTTCATGACAAAGCGGATATACTCAATGCCACTAAACGGCACGCCTAGAAATGGTTAAAGTGGTAAATGCTGTGTTATATACATTTTACCACAATAAAAAAATCAGACAACTGTTTAAAGCAAAAAAAAAGTTTAAGTTGCACAATGTAAACAGAACTTTAAAGAATGTTTGTAAAATATACTAAGAAAATGTATTTGTTTACATTGAGTCTGTGATAGAGAATTGGTATTAACTATTGATTTACTTCATGGCTTTTTAACTTCTAGAAAGTTGTTGCGGTTTTGGCTTACAGAAAAACAAATCACGAGCAATGGATGAAACCAGAAAGAACTAGTATTCTTCTTTGAAAAAGTTTTCCAAAACTTTTTTATCTGAAAAGAATGCACCTATTGATCGGAAAGTGAACCCCAGAATAAACCCGTCTGGGTAGAGCATAAAGCAGGTGCGCATCGCTCTGGAGGAGAAACACAGCGTCTGACCTACCAGTCCTGGTTCTCAATCCACTGCGCCAGCAGGTGTCGGATTTCCATCGGAAAGTTGTCATCATAGAACTGGTCCACTTGTTCCAAAAACTTGATTTCTAACTGTTGGACTTGATTCCACTGAGACATGCTATAAAACAAGGGGGAAAGTAGAGTTTAAAAGTAATAACTGTGGTACATCTTATTCTTTCCTTAGATTCCAAACAAAGACAACACTGTCCATTAGGTAAGTCACTGAAGAAAAGTGACTTTTTAAAACAGTCACTCAATTAAAAGAGAAAGTGCTTTCAATTCAAAGAATAAAGCCAATCTAAACTTTTGTGTAAGTCAGTCATCCCTAGTGAAGGACACAGGACTCCCCCTCTGGCCCCAGACCACCTCCTTCTTGCCCTCCGGGAACTCCTGTCCCCTTCTCCAGGGGCTTCACTCCCCCCTCAACACCCCTCTCCCCGCCCCCCATCCAGCGGTTCTCAACCTGTGGGTCGAGACCCCTTTGTGGGTCGAACGACCCTTTCATAGGGGTCGCCTAAGACCATCAGAAAACACATACATAATTACATATTGTTTTTGTGATTAATCACTATGCTTTCATTATGTTCAATTTGTAACAATGAAATTGGGGGTCACCACAACATGAGGAACTGTATTAAAGGGCCGCAGCATGAGGAAGGTTGAGAACCACTGCTCTACACCAATTTGTATTCTCAACGAGCTCCCTCCCCATCCCTTGTGCCCCCTACCCTACTAGACATTGAGCAACTGCAAGGCAAACAGCACATGCAGCTACACCTCCCGAGACCCTCCTAAGGCTCTAGAGGGGAGGAATACCCAATACAAGTTTGTTTTCTATGAAATGGCCAATCCCTCTGTCTTCGTTTCAGGTCTGTCTGGCTTCTAGTCAGCCGTATGTCGGCAAACTTCCAGTCTAGCTCCATCTTAGCTTTATGAAGAGTTGCCCGTTTGCCTGTTCGTGGGCACTAATTCTTTCAGGTCAAAATAGCTCTGAGCCGTGCACAGTGTTGTTTCTCTCTATGGCTGCGACGGTCCGCTGTGGCTGGGCAAAGCTTTAAGTCTCCTTTCCATTCGTCTCTGACGTGCATGTAAACGTGGTTACACCCTCAAGTTACTTGAGGACGAAACCACACTCGGTACGTCGTTGACAACCTGTCATGAAACCGAATGGTGTGTTTCCCCCGCAGAACCCCGCTCCGGCCACTGGACGCTTTAGCCGCGTCTCCTCACCGGGAAAGCCCAGGCGCCTTGAAGTGACCGCACTTTACTGCCTCAAAAGTCACATTTTTTATTGTTTTGTCAGCAATTCCAGAGCGAAGGGGAAAAGTTTTATGTAACTAATAACCATAGTATTTCCATCTATCTTGTAGGTGAGTTAGAGTTTACTTGTGCCTACAGAACATTACGAGAACAAATTTCCTATATTTCATAGACACATTTCTCAGGTTTCCAGGGACACCCTTGGGAGCCCCTTTTCCCTGACGTCTAGGAGGGAGGGCGTCTGGGAGAACTGATGGCCATGTGTCCTGAAAGAAAGCCACCGGGGAAAGTGATGTTTCACTTGCACATCCCGTTATGGTTATGAAGACAATTCCCGGCGTAGTGGGTGCTCAGGACCTGCTGCCACATGAGGGAGTGGCCCTCGGAGACTGCTGGGAGGAGGGCAGGTGTTACCCCAACTTTAAAAAGGAAAACAGCCCTAGCGCGTCTGGCTCAGTGGATAGAGCGTCGGCCTGCGGACTGAAGGGTCCCGGGTTCGATTCCGGCCAAGGGCATGTACCTTGGTTGCGGGCACATCCCCAGTAGGGGGTGTGCAGGAGGCAGCTGATCGATGTTTCTCTCTCATCGATGTTTCTAACTCTCTATCCCTCTCCCTTCCTCTCTGTAAAAAATCAATAAAATATATTTTTTTTTTAAAAAGGGAAAACAACCTCGATGTTTCTAACTCTCTATCCCTCTCCCTTCCTCTCTGTAAAAAATCAATAAAATATATTTTTTTTTTAAAAAAGGGAAAACAACCGGAGGGTCAGAGCTGAGTCCTGCCCCAGGGGCACAGCCTCACGGATGGCCCGGAGTCTCCCGGCCCCAGACCCCCTCTCTCTCCAGATGCGGGTGGATGCGTGTCCCACGGGAACCTGGCACCTGCTGGCTCCATCCCTCAGTCAGTGAAAGAGAGACCGGAGCTGCGAACAGCATGGCAGCTGCAGTCGCTCCCACTGTGGAATCTGCTGGGATGGCTGCACATCTGTTTTCTAACCATGACTAGAAGGTTAGCTCCCTCTTAG